CTCATTTTCTGCCTAATGTAATCATGCTTTGTCTTATCATGCCCGTGTTTTAAGTACAGGTGCTCTCCGAGTCTCAGAATCCTCTTTTCTGCTTTGACAACACCCGTGACCTCATCCTGATGCATTGCCGAAATTAAAGACCACAGCTTTTTGCTGATGCCCTCCGGTACAGGCTGGGCTAGGGAGCAGAGGGACTGGACCCTACTTCTACCTGGTTTAGCCTGGGCATCTTTCTGTGAAAGCCGGCACCTGGCCACATGCCTCCACAGCGACTTTCGCTTAAGCAATGCCCCACAGTCTATACAGTGCAAAAACTCACTGGATTTAACTGGGGAATTTGGCTGTTTAGCTGGGACTAAAGTTCCAATGCCGGCCTTTAAAACCTCAAAATTGTGCTCACGGTTTCCACTATTCCTGATCAAATCAAACTGAAGTTTACGTGCTTTAGATTTCACAGGTAGAGCCAATGCTCTGGCTACGTCACTTTCATTTCCATGTTTTCTAGTCAAATGACGGGACATTTTGTGGCAGGACATTGAACAGTAGAGGCAGAAGTGTCTCTTGCTGTATACTCGCCCCCCATTTTTCTTCTTTTGCAGCTGCATGATAACAATCTTATTTGCCTTTGGTTCGTCACTTTCCGAGTCTTGAAGAAAAGTGTTTTTGATTTTTCTTTTTCCATACTTTTTTACAGGTTTCTTCTTGACAGTTAAATCGTCAGAATCTGAGTCGACTTCATCAATTAGGGACTCTTGACTAAGCTGCACAAACAACAAATAATTTGTAATCATTCTATATAACAATTTGAAGTCATGACTTGTAGTCAGCACTTACCAGTGGTTTGTAAGCGTGCGCTTCAGTGTGCTCCTCCATGATTTCTTGCAGCCTAATGAACCACACACTTGCACCTTTTTCTAGCCTGACACCTGATTTCCTCTGTTGTGCTGCTCCATGATTGGCTCCAGCCTGCTGGACTGAAATTGCCCCAGTGTGCCCCTCCTTGATATCCCGCAACCCACCACCAGGGTTCCGACACATAACACACTTTTTTCAGGAAAGTAAACCTCCAGGGGTCCTTTCCATATTTTTACAGAGACTGCATAAGGACCGTTAGAAAAGCATTACCCATTGATTATTAAGCTTGGACCAGTGGGGTCCGGTGTTCGGGCCCCACCACGTAAAACCAGTCCCCATGACGTGAGTGGAATCTCAGGTTATGGAACCCACCAGGAGTTGAAAACAAGTGCACACATACACACACACACCCATACACTCACCCATATACACACACACACATGCACACAAGCACCCACGTGTATGTGTGTATGTGCTTCTGTCTCTGCGTCTGTATATATATGTATATGTGCGTGTGTGTGTGTCTGTATGTGTGCATGTGTGTGTGTCTGTATGTGTCTGTTTGTGTGTGTGTGTATGCGGCAGATGGGACTGTCAGTGGAACCACTCAGTTTTGATGCTTGTGTATAATCCTGGGGTTTTCCATGTTTTTATTGCGGGGACGTGTTTTAATCGTGGCTCTTCAGGAAATGAGTAAATCATGTGACATCAGAGGAAACATGTTTTCACTATGATCCAACGTTTATGTTAAAAACCAGACCTGGAGTTGTGTTTAGCTTCATCCAGGCTCATCACACTGATCTGTGACATCACAGACAGACACAGACACTTGGCAGCTGCACACAGGCATTTTGGCTCAAATGAACATAGCCTGCTGCTGTAGTTACGGGGACCTGGTGCAAAGAGGCACAGGGCAAATCCATTAAATCTATAAATGAAGACACAAGAGTTTAATGAAATGGTTTCAGGTCAAACGTTCACAATATATTTTAACGATCCTCGAGGTCATTATTGATTTATAATGAACACAAAGAACAGTTCGTCAGAGAGAACAGAGTAACGAGCCTTTCCCTCGAGAAACACCACTTTGAAATTACAGCTGTGGCCACAGAGTCCCCGGGTGACCTCAACACACACACACACACACACACACACACACACACACAGTCACACACAGTCACACGCACAGACACACGCACACGCCACACACACAATCACACAGCCGGACTCATACGCACACACACACATGATCACACACCACACACACGCACACAGTCACTCACATACACACACAGACATGTAAGCACACATACAAACACACACACACATACACAGTTATGCACATGCACACACGCACACACACAGTCACACACATACGCACACCACACACACGCACCACGCACACAATAACACAATCACACACATATACTTATGCACACACACCACATCACACCACACACAATCACACATGTACGCACACTCACACACCACACCACACCACACACAATCACACATGTACGCACACTCTCACACCACACACAATCCCACAAACCACACAGTCACGCACATACACACACAGACATGTAAGCGCACATACACATAGAAACACACACACATACAATCACACGTGCACACACACATATGCACACATGCAGGTACACACATGATTTTGTTAGAGAGTGATGTGTTGAGTCCATGAGTGTGTGTTGTGTGTGTGTCCATAATTGTGCGCTGTTCACACTTCAGAAGAATAGTGTTATAGTAATGGCCTCTCTCCTTCGCTGAAAAGTGCGGACCTCACGACTGGTACACACTTTTTGGCTCTGTTTTGTGCGATTTACACATTAACATTAACAAACCAATAATTACTGTTAAAAAAATGAAACCTCTTGCGGAAAAAATAGACCTTAAAATATCTCTAGAAAAACCAATCAATTCTTTCAGATTCTGTCGAGCAGCATCTGCCTCTTTCAGCAAATACGAGGTACTTGACTGTGATTCAACTTCATAAATATTCGAACAACTTACTATATAAATAATGCATCACCTGGTGTTGGCGTTTGTCTGTGACGTTGTGTGGTGTCAGTGTGTCTCCATGGCGACGAGGAGTTTGGCCGTGGACAAAAGAGCATCTCTTTTGTGAAATCGACCGGCGACAATGATTCACACTCATCAGATCAAAAACACCGCTGATGAGAACAATGTCACGTGTCATTTCTGTCTCATTCACCTTCAAACATGATCGAGAAACTTCACATGAACTTGTATGTATGTGTCAGACTCGGGTAAACAGCTTTCAGGCTCTCAGGAAGACTTTTTTTAAAATTACAAATACAAAAACAAGTACAAACAATAAAACAGCAACAGCAAAAAAAAACACAAAACAAAGACTACATCCATCCATCCATTTTCTTCCCCTTTATCCATTTCTGGGTCGGGGGGTGGCAGTCAGAGCTACACCCAGTCCACAGAGCACCAGCCCCTCACTGATCCTCCTGCAGGTGCTGAGTCCACAGGAGCTGATATCTTTCAGTTGGGGCTTTGGGCAAAGTGGGGTTAAGTGTCTTGCCCAAGGACACAACGACAGCAGTCATCAGTGGGAGTCGTGAAGTAGGTCTTACGGTGGGCTCGAACCCACGACCTTCAGGCCCAAAGGCCAATGCTCTACCAACTGAGCCACTGTCGACAAAGACTACATACATATTTCAAAACATTCCCATTCAACAAAAAGTTAAAATTCAGTGTCAAAAACCAAAATGAAGAACAACAATAAATAATCCGACCTAATAATGTACTCACTGACATCATGTTTTCTGCTCGTAACGATAATATAAAATGCTAGTCCGTCGCTTCAGATCATTTTCCCATGAGGACTTTGCATTTTAAATGGATTTGTCGCCTCAAAGAACTCTTTAGTGGAAACACTGGTATACATTTACAGCTAGCTAAGAAACCAAGCAGCTCCTCATATTGTATATTTTGTGTGCTCCCTGTGTGCTCTCACTACTGTCCTGTCTGTGCGCTGCAATCATGAAATTTCCCCACTGTGGCACGAATAAAGGACTTCTTATCTTATCTTTCATAAGCGGTCTGTATTTTTCTTTTATTTGAGTCTTGTCCTTTGGTGGCTTTCTGTTTCTTGTTCTAGTGTGGACCTAGAGCAGCCTGGGCAAAGTGTGACCCGGGGGCCACATCGGGCCCAATTCACATCTCTATGCGGCCCCCGGACCCCTCCCAGGCCTTTTGCTTATTTATATGAATCTGGAGTCATTACCCAGTGAAGGCTTGTAACTAAATACTGTATGTACAACCACGGCAGGGAATGTTTATTTTTATTATTATAGTTTTTTTGTTTATTTTTGTTTTTATTTAATAATTAAATACAACAAAACATAGAAGAGCAAGAACACAAAAACAGCACAACATAAAAACACAAAAGTACAACCCCAAAACAGAACAGACAAACACAAGACAACAAAAATAATAATAAGGCAAGTTTATTTGTATTGCACAATTCATACATACTGTAAGGCAACTCAAAGTGCTGAACAAAAGGCATTAAAATCCTAAATAATCACGGTACATTCAAAAGAGTAAAGATACAACCCCTCAGTTGTCTGCACAGCTAAACAAAACTGCTGGATTTGAACGCTGTCAGAGAAGAAGCCTGTCTCACATTTTCAGAAAGACTGCTCCAGGTTTTATCTGAGTGATTCTGAGATGCAGTTCTGACTCTCACCAGCAGGAGGCGTGCGTTACATCTATTCTGTTCTCATTAATGAACCCAAAATGTCATAAGTAATTATTTGAAGTAGCTTTTTGCGAAATTAGATAAATCCTTAACCACATGAGAACGGCTCCGGCCCTCCACAACAGGACGTTATCCCAATGTGGCTCCCGAAGATGACAATTTTCCATTCCTGGCCTAGAATCTGAATAAAAAAATGATGATGATGATGATATAAATGAATACTAATATTATCACTATTGCTAGCTACTTTTAGAATGATGTATTTATTTGTTGATGTTATGTTGTTGTATGTTTTGTCTGCTCTTGGACACCTGTATTTCTCCTACGGGGGATCAATAAAGTAACGTTATGGAGAATCTGTCTTAACTGCCCCTGTTCTCTCTCTCTCTCTTAGGAGTGGCTGGACCTGCGCTGCCGGGGGGTCCGCAACGCCAACGCCTACATCCTGGTGTACGACATCTGCTGCGTGGAGAGCTTCGAGTACGTCAAGATGATCCGACAGCAGATCATGGACACCAGGTACAGATGCTTAACACCAGTGGGGGCGGGTCCCGGTTCAACAGTGCGATGACACGCTGCAATACCCGGAATAAGAATTAGCCAATGCTAACATATAGCATCTTCTTACCTCTCGAAAACGTCTTTACAGGATGGTCCAAAAGTTGGCTCTTGGTCCGAAACTCCGTTCCACATGTGTGTCAATGCTGAGGGAGTGTTCTGGACCAGTCTAGTTTAGTCGCTGTGAATTTTTGAAGTCTCTCGTTTAAATGAACGGAGCTCGTGCAGCTGACGTATGCACAGATGCGTTGTTTCACATTTTCCAGCCCCCGCGGCCATTTTGAATCACTCCATGAGAGCCCAATTTTGGGCCCATTAGTTAGAACGGCGAAGATAGGCGTGATTACGTCCGTTAGTATATACAGTCTATGGTTTAACCTTGTGCTCAGAGAAAAACCACACGAGCCGTTTGGATCTACAGCGAGAGACGAGCGCGGCGTCCCAAAGCGTAGAACCTCTGAGCGAGTCTCATGCACTGAACGAGACAGATTTGGAAAGACTAATCTGTCCCAATGTTAAGATTAAGGTGTTGCATCGCCGGTTACAGAACAGTAGGAATGAGGAGATAAATGTATAATAACTCTATACTAAATAAAATGAAAGAAAATCTCTAACTCTAGCATGAAGAAGAAACAAGTATAAAATCTCTACATTTAGCATAAGTCTGAATAGTGTGATTCTAGTGCAGGTAATATATAGCAGTATGTTTACATCTGTACATTAGCAGCCGTATGTTTACATCTGTACATTAGCAGCCGTATGTTTACATCTGTACATTAGCAGCCGTATGTTTACATCTGTACATTAGCAGCCGTATGTTTACATCTGTACATTAGCAGCCGTATGTTTACATCTGTACATTAGCAGCCGCATGTTTACATCTGTACATTAGCAGCCGTATGTTTACATCTGTACATTAGCAGCCGTATGTTTACATCTGTACATTAGCAGCAGTATGTTTACATCTGTACATTAGCAGCAGTATGTTTACATCTGTGCATTAGCAGCCGTATGTTTACATCTGTACATTAGCAGCAGTATGTTTACATCTGTACATTAGCAGCAGTATGTTTACATCTGTACATTAGCAGCCGTATGTTTACATCTGTACATTAGCAGCCGTATGTTTACATCTGTACATTAGCAGCCGTATGTTTACATCTGTACATTAGCAGCCGTATGTTTACATCTGTACATTAGCAGCCGTATGTTTACATCTGTACATTAGCAGCCGTATGTTTACATCTGTACATTAGCAGCCGTATGTTTACATCTGTACATTAGCAGCCGTATGTTTACATCTGTACATTAGCAGCCGTATGTTTACATCTGTACATTAGCAGCCGTATGTTTACATCTGTACACGTTAGTAGCAGTATGTTAGCCTCTATACATATTAGCAGCATGAATCTCTGGGACAAAGTGACTAAGTAGAGCAACAGTGGACACATGTGGTTTTATATTGCACATTCTGACATTAGTTCAAGATATGAGTGATAAGTGTGTGTGTGCGTGCGTGTGCGTTCGTGTGTGTGTGCGTTCGTGTGTGTGTGCTTGATATGAATGTGTATATGGAGTCTTCAGGTTAACCCTCTCGGTGCCAATATGCTGTTTAAAACGGCCACACAATGATTAGCACTGTTTTAATATTTCCCTGACCGTTGAGTATAATGTGTAGTGTGAGTTCTGTTTGTGTGTTCATGTCCTAGAGATGTCTATGTCTGTCAGTAAAAAAAAAAAAAAAGTACAAACAAAATCATGAAAATCCATTATTTCCAACCACCATTTGAAGTCATAATATGCAAATTAAATTAGTACATTTAATTCCGTCATAAACTTTGGGCCATCCTTATAATTTACATAAAGCCTCTATCTGGAGCAGTGTGTAAACATGTGGCCAAAAGTGGTACTGCAACTTTTCCTACTCTCCCTGACTCAGGTTGCCAGATATGCAGACGAATCCAGCTGGGACCATAACAGCTGAATAGACAAGAGTTTAGTCAACAACAAATCTACAGTATAACCACCTTTTTCACAAAGATAGAAATCCTAGTTTTATTCTTTGTTTTGTTGATAATGATTTGAGAATGATAACAAGAACTATTTTAGTGCAGCGGCCACATGGTACTTTACCAGTGAGATTAGCTCAATGCTGTGACTTCTGGCAACCCGGATCACAGACTTTCTGATTGGTGAAACAGTGGAGGGCGGGACATCGAGATGAAAACAAGATCAGTTAACTCATTGACTGCCAGCTGTTTTAGATGATTTCACTGATTTTCAAGACCCACAGAATATTGTGTGCTATGACTTTGTGAAATATGAAACCAGATTCTGAAAGACTGGATTGTTTACTTTCATCAGAAAAAATAACTTTGTTTCTAGCTAGTTTTGTTCTTCCGTGATCCCCAGTCAAAAAGAGGGGAATGGGAAAGAAATTGTCTGACAAATACGTCATAGGCAGTCAATGAGTTAAAGAGGTATTGGAAAAGAACATGTTTTATTAATGCTATTTGACTGACATTGGGGCCCTTTAATGATGACTTGACATGAAAATCTTACATATTGCTACTTTAAGATGTCAAATTTGATTAGGGAAAAACCTCTGGCGCCTAAAGGGGCAAGACTGGACTCACGTGAGAAAACGGGTGGAGTCTGAAGTGCTCCGGCTTGGTTGGAATTAAAACCTGCAGCTACACCGGCCCTTTAAAGAGCGACAAAACACCTTTGCCCAGCCTTACTCCGCCCTCATGAACATTTGACATTTTTCTCTAAAAGGGTGTTGCCTGGAGGACCAAGGGACAAGAAGGGGGGCTTAGAGCTGGGCGTGATCTGGGCTGTGATTGACAGCTCACTTGTCACACGAAAAAAAAAAGGGACAGTTGTCATTGCTGCTTAAAGCAATAGTTTACACACCAGAAAGTCTCATTCCACCCTTGTTTACACACTAAGATAATTGTAGAGTTACACACCTGAACCTAAGCCACAGAATTATCTCAGCAGCAGTGGCTGTCGACTCATGTAATTTAATTTTAATCCACTAGATGTCGCCAGAATACTCAAACCTGCTGCTGGGGCGTGTGTGAGAGTTGGATGGGTTTATATCACTGGGTCAGACAGACGCACGTCACACACACCAACTAACGTCACACACACACCAACTGACGTCACACACACACCAACTGACGTCACACACACCAACTGACGTCACACACACACCAACTGACATCACACACACCAACTAACGTCACACACACACCGACTGACGTCACACACACACCAACTGACATCACACACACCAACTGACGTCACACACACACCAACTGACGTCACACACACACCAACTGACGTCACACACACACCAACTGACGTCACACACACACCAACTGACGTCACACACACACCAACTGACGTCACACACACACCGACTGACATCACACACACCGACTGACGTCACACACACCAACTGACGTCACACACACCAACTTACGTCACACACACCAACTGACGTTACACACACCAACTGACGTCACACACACCAACTGACGTCACACACACCAACTGAAGTCACATACCCCAACTGACGTCACACACCAACTGACGTCACACACACACCAACTGACGTCACACACACACCAACTGACGTCACACACACACCAACTGACGTCACACACACACCAACTGACGTCACACACACACCAACTGACGTCACACACATACCAACTGACGTCACACACACACCCACTGACGTCACACACATACCAACTGACGTCACACACACCAACTGTCGTCACACACACACCAACCGACGTCACACACACCAACCGACGTCACACACACCAATTGACGTCACACACACCAACTGATGTCACACACACACCAACTGACGTCACACACACACCAACTGACGTCACACACACCAACTGACGTCACACACACCAACTGATGTCACACACACACCAACTGACGTCACACACACACCAACTGACGTCACACACACCAACTGACGTCACACACACCAACTGACGTCACACACACACACCAACTGACGTCACACACACACCAACTGACGTTGTGTGACATCACACACACACCAACTGACGTCACACGCACCAACTGACGTCACACACACCAACTGACGTTGTGTGACGTCACACACACACCAACTGACGTCATACACACCAACTGACGTCACACACACACCAACTGACGTCACACACACCAACTGACGTCACACACACACCAACTGACGTCACACAGTATTACAGAATCAATGGAGAGGCCAGGACCAAATTCAAATGTAGTACCACCGAAAAGGTAGAGAGGGCGCCACACGAAGTTTTTAGGCTCAAAAGTGAGATTTTATCTAATTTGCACAAAAATGTCAAAAAAATGACCAGGATATGTAGAGAGCACTATAATAAACATATTTATGCAGTTTATGAGTTAAAAAAAGTGTATTTGGTGTTTAGTCGCTCTTTAAGTACCGGTTCGACGCCCCTGCTTTTCCGTACTGGACCAGAAGAATGTTCCAGACCAGATGTGTTGTGTTCACTCGATGTACTTTTGTTGCATTTTTAATAATCTATTGAAAAGAGACTAGAACGATATGTACTTAGTGTTCCGCGGGATATTTTAGCTGCGAGTGTTTGTGGACGTGTGAACGAGTGGCGTGAGAGCAGGCTGAGTGTGTTCCTTTTTTTAAGTCTGCGGATACGTCTGCACTTCCATCTGTGCGCCACAATGAGCTTAACCACTCAGAAGGCCGCCGTGCTTTCTATTAGTCACACGGCACCAGACACACTTTTGTGGCTCAAGGGCTCTTACTATTACCAGCGCATCTGCTTCACAGTTGAACATAGAGTGTTCTGGACGTCGTTGATGTAGTATGGAATAATAATCCATTTTTATCCCCATTTATGGACAGTGGTCATCTGCCCCGTATGGACCAATGGCTCTATGTGTTTTTATCATTGCATTTCTAGTGTTGAACGGTTGATTCCCTGATTTGTGTTGGCAATTTCAAGGGTTTTGTCAAGTCGTCTGAGATAACTACTGTTGGGATTTAGGGCTATACACAAATACATTTCATTGAATTGGAAGCACTGATACAGATCCAATACTAGCATCAAAAGTTGTGCCAATCCAGGCTAAGATTTTGGCTTGAGTATGGGTTCTGTGAAATCTATTATGTGGATAACCTGAAAAGTCCAGTGATAGAATGAGTTTCAATGCTATGAAGACACTTTCTGTTTACTAAAAGTTTATGAGCAGCAGTGTGTTTTAAAGGCTCTCAATCTGAACCTAATCGCATTCAATGAAATAAGTTAATTTCCATCATTTTTATAACACGTTCCATGTAGAAGGAGCAGAGTAAACCCAGCTCTGTGCGGACAAAAGGAACAGAGAGCAACACACGGTCATTTGAACAAACAGTAAGAACCAACATTTCTCCGTGTGATTAAATTACAGATGTAAGAGGGCAGTAGACCAAGCCTTATGAACAGAAGTGTCTGAACCTCCAGGACAAAGAAGATTCAGACTCATATCCAGATCAGATTCATTTATTTGCCATTTGCAGTGAAACCACATTGGAATACATTTTTAAAAGTCCCCAGTGTGCACAAGACAAGTACATACATAAAACAACCTTAAAAGTACAGAAACAATCAAAACAGTAAACAATTGACACTGTGAAATCAATCGAATAAAACAGTTTCAATACAAAGGTAAGATCATTAAAGTGCTCTGTTCAAACTGATAACAGATTGTGGAAAGAAGCTGTTATCGAGATGTCCTGCATCTCAGAGAACGATATCTTCTGCCAGAGGGAAGAAGCTGGAACAGGGCTTTTCCAGGGGCCAGAAGAGTTTAAAAGTCTGGATTTATAAAGAACCTCCAGAACAGGCAGCTCACATCCTCTTTGCAGAACGGAGCACCTTGTTTAAAGCTCTCCTCTCTTTGTCTGTGCTATCCCACTCGAGAATTCACAATGATGAGTCAAGGCTTTACAGTTAGTAATGAATGGGAACAGTTGTGTGCTTGTACCTTTGCTCAGTGTGATTGTGCTGTGTCCACAGGGAGGGCAGCAGCAGTGAAGTGCCCATCCTTGTGGTGGGGAACAAGCGCGACCTGCAGCGCCAGCGCTTCACGCCGCGACGCGCCGTCTCTGTCCTGGTGAAGAAGACTTGGAAGTGCGGATACGTGGAGTGTTCGGCCAAGTTCAACTGGCACGTGGTCCTGCTCTTTAAGGAACTCCTGGGCATCGCTGTGTCCAGGGGCGCGCGGCAGAACAACACCTCCATCAGACTGCAGGGGGCACTGCAGAGAAACCGCTGCACTATCATGTGACCCGCAGAGGCATCGTACAAACAGCTGTGTGAAGGCGCGAGAGAGAAGCTCCAGCTCGGGGATGAGAGTATTTCTATTCGTATATTTTAGTTTTACATAACGTATGAATGAAGGAACAATGAAGGCTGTAGCTCTGAGGCGGCTGATGAGGTCGCTGCTCTTTTCAGGACGAAGAGCACATTTTAAACACATTATTTGGAGAAGAGGGCTAATAACGTTGTCATTTATAACAATTCAGAGAAAGATTATAATTACAAATCTTTAAAGAGCGACTAAACACCAAATCAACTTTTTTTTATTTATTCATGCACTTATAAACTGCATAAATATGTTTATTGTAGTGTTCTCTACATATCCTGGTCATTTTTTTTTTTTGACATTTTTGTGCAACCTTTTCGGCCTCTCCATTGACTCTGTAATTCTGTGACGTCAGTTAGTGTGTGTGTGACGTCAGTTGGTGTGTGTGACGTCAGTTGGTGTGTGTGACGTCAGTTGGTGTGTGTGTGACGTCAGTTGGTGTGTGTGTGACGTCAGTTGGTGTGTGTGACGTCAGTTGGTGTGTGTGACGTCAGTTAGTGTGTGTGTGACCTCAGTTGGTGTGTGTGACGTCAGTTGGTGTGTGTGACGTCAGTTGGTGTGTGTGTGACGTCAGTTGGTGTGTGTGACGTCAGTTGGTGTGTGTGACGTCAGTTGGTGTGTGTGACGTCAGTTGGTGTGTGTGTGACGTCAGTTGGTGTGTGTGACGTCAGTTGGTGTGTGTGACGTCAGTTGGTGTGTGTGTGACGTCAGTTGGTGTGTGTGTGACGTCAGTTGGTGTGTGTGACGTCAGTTGGTGTGTGTGACGTCAGTTGGTGTGTGTGACGTCAGTTGGTGTGTGTGACGTCAGTTGGTGTGTGTGCTGAGATAATTCTGTGACTTAGGTTCAGGTGTGTAACTCTACAATTATCTTAGTGTGTAAACAAGGGTGGAATGAGACTTTCTGGTCTGTAAACTATTGCTTCAAGCAGCAATGACAATGTTTTTTTTCGTGTGACAAGTGAGCTGTCAATCACGGCCCAGACCACGCCCAACTCTAAGCCCCCCTTCTTGTCCCTTGGTCCTCCAGGCAACGCCCTTTGAAGAGAAAATGTTCACATGCTCATGTGGGCGGAGTCAGGCTGGGCACAGGTGTTTAGTCGCTCTTTAAGTATGATGTAGTGTAGGTCACAGGCGACTTACTCAGAAAGTAGCAGAACATGAACTTCTGAGTATCACAGATCCTGAAGTAAAATGCCCATTCATTCAAAAATGTTTTTGAGGACTTGAATGAATGGACCTTTTACTCCAGTAACTGTGATGCGGGTGATCCTTGTTGAGCTTCATAGAAAAAAAATCAAGAAAAAATGAATTCAGTTCCCTGCACACACACAAACACACAGTTATTCTTCTGGCCCTGTTTATCTTTTGCTGTTTTTATGTGGTTTCTGATCCTATGACCACTCAAGATGGCAGCCACTCTTGCCACGGAGAACCCAGCTCTCTCTCGTACCTTCTACAGCTCTGTGCGTACAACCTCCCACCTCAGGCGCCAAAGGAGACAAGACTGCGCACTGCGTCCACAAGCGAGCGCGCCGATGACCTGTGTTCAGAAGTGCTCAGGAGTGGGATTCTGTCATGCTTACAATACTGCACTAGACATGTCCCGTGTTGAACCACTGAGCAAAGACAGTAGTTTTATCTATTTTCTCTTTGAAACAATTTATCTTGCTCAAAATATGACTGAGACATACATTTTCTCACTTGGAACGGAGATAAATAGTATTGAGATGGCTTGAAATGGCATTACATTAGTCGCTCTTTAGCCCAGATTTAAGTCCAAATTAGACAAAAACTACTTATTTCGAGAACTTATTCATGTATGTATAACGGTATAGTGCCTTTCAATTCACCAGAGGCACTTTAGTTTGTAGTCATTCCTCTGAATAGATAGAGGCCGAGTTGAACATAAGCTAGCTGTAACCAAGTTTTTGTGGGCATTTTTTCCGCAGAGTTTTAGTTTTCAGTTTCCATGAAGGCATCTTATCAGGCTTTGGGGGGCGACAGTAGCTCAGTTGGTAGAGCATTGGCCTTTGAGCTGTATAATAATAATAGTAATAATGCATCGGTTTTATATAACGCTTTTTTGGACACTCAAAGAAGCTTCACATGTCGTTATTCATTCACTCCATACACAGTGGTGATCAACTACTACTATAGCCACAGCTGCCCTGGGGCACACTGACAGAAGCGAGGCAACCAGTCTGTGCAATTGGCCCCTCCGACCACCACCACCAACAATTCACACACCAGACTCATTCTAGCCAACGGGGATGAAGTGTCTTGCCCAAGGACACAACGACAGCAGACATCAGTGGGAGTCGGTGGAGAAACTCTTGAGTTGGACTCGAACTCACAACCATCTGGCTCAAAGGCCAATGCTCTACCAACTGAGCTACTCTCCCGTGCGGCACGGTGGCTGAGTGGATAGCACTCTCGCCTCTCAGCAAGAAGGTCCTGGGTTCAAATCCCGGCCGGACCAGGGCCTTTCTGAGTGGAGTTTGCATGTTCTCCCCGTGTCTGCGTAGGGTTCCTCCGGATACTCCGGTTTCCCCTACCACTAAAAATATGTACAATAGGATTGGCATGCGCCTCCTGTTCGGCGACCCCGCTCCCATCTCTGTGTGGAGTGAGAGACTAATGCCCAAAAATAACAATTGTAAACCGCTTTGTGACTCTGGTCTGTGAAAGGCGGTATATAAATAAAGATTACTTACTTACTTACTATATAAAACCAATGCATTATTATTAAATGCTCATGTCTATATTTACAAAGATAATATGGAAAAAAATACTCCAGGATAATGTTGAGCGTAAACCACAGACACCAAAATGGTATTGATACAAACGGTTACTGAGCGAGAGAAAAGTTCGGTTTTCAATAGGTCAATAGGAGTCAAAGTAGTTGAAGCAAAACTTCGTCCATGAGCATTTCTCCATTGTCCATCTATATACAGTCTATGGTAAATTCGAGTCAATCCCACTCAAATGAGCCGCGACGTTCTGAACACAGGTCATTTACAATTGCTGTCTCGCAGTGCAGATCTCAATGGCTGGAAAACCCTTGTGTGGCCTCCTGCTTTACTGAGCTGATTTTTACTATGAGGTTTATACATAAATGAAGTGGTGCGCTGTAAAAGACATGATCCCTCACTTCCACTGCTCAGAAGACGTCACGCGGAGAACTCACACAGCAATAGTATCCAGTCTTCCTCCACCACGGTCCAACCACAAAGTGTGACATGAAGGAAGTAGTTGTAGAGGTGGGCGATACAGTTATCATGTTTACGATCACGATTCCCATTGTTATCAAGGAAAACGTAAACGGCAGAGCCAAAACGGGCTGCGGGTCTTCATCAGAACTCCCTCACACCTTGGTCATTTATCAGCTGTAACTTCCTGAGTAAGCATAGTCAGCCTGGTTGACCTGTCAGCTCGATCAGACTGGAGAAGGGTGTTCCCATGTGTGGTACAGAGGCAAGGCTCCGTTGTCGCGGTTGGTGGTGTTGTTGCCCCACTTCCTGATCTCCATGGCTGGAATCTTTTGTTTTCAGATCCAATTCCCTTCGCCCCTTTCCCAATCCCGTCTCCTGCAATGACCAATGTTCTGCTTTTTCTTGTTCGTCCTTGTGAGTCTTCCAACATTTTCGCCTATGTAAAACTTTTTGCATGAGTGGAATTCGATGTTGTATTTTGCATTGCATTTGTCATTGGTTGGTATTATATCTTTGGGGTGTACTCTTGCTGGCAGTATATACATTATACAGGGGAGACTACTGCACAGATGTTTCCCTAAGGCTTGGGCAGGGGCTCTAGTATTCCTCTTTTCTTAGTAGTCTAATTGTTTTGGAGTGTTTTTGCTGCCCTCTGCTGGCACATTGTCTTCTTGTCTTCTGTCTGGTTGTGGATTTGTTTTACTGACTGGTCCTTTTCCCTGGTATTGTCGTCAGTGATGAGCACAGTCATACTCCGGAAGTAGCATCAGCTGATAAATGAGACATCACCAAGCCAAGAGACAGTTCTGAAGATGGCTCATAGCTCTGCACCCGAAACATGTGAACAAGGTATTTACAGCTCAACCAATAGATGTCTTTCAATTACAACCTAAGCGGTAAAAGTCAAAAGCACTTCATTCTTATTGCAAAACCTGGAGCAAATAAGACCTTATCGCAAAAAACAGTGAGGGTGACTATATTTAAGAATCTATAAAACGGTCATGCAGGTTTGGTCAGATTCTCATATCATTTTATTTCCTGGTTGTAAATGACTCCTCCAACTTAGTGGATCCTGTTTTGTGGTGTCATCAGTTCTGGAACACAGCTCTAGTTTCTGTATATGTCAAAAGATGTTCCCAAATTCATGCACCACAGTTATCAGTCCACCGGAAAGAAAGAAACATGGAAAATACATGTAGGAATTGTTCAAGCCTACATGGATTGTTTGGAACGTGTGAGTCTGTATATGTATGAGTATGTACTATACAAGTAGCTATAAAAAGTGATTTTCTGTCGGTATCGCCCACCCCTATGCAAACTGTGTGAAATGCTTCCAAATGTTTCTAAGTATCAGCACAAAGTTGTCACAATTTTACCTTCATTTGAACTGTTTTGCTGTAAATTGTTGGGATATGCATGTCATGGTTCATAAAGACACTATGTTGGGGGGTGGGGGATTTCACCAGCAGGCATATGGTAACGTACTGTTTTTTTAGCCCCAAATCTATGGCTAGCTCGCTCACTGTTAGCTACAGTTAGCATCAGTTAGTGTAGTCCATGATCAGTCGTTCCGTCCTGTAAATTATTATAACAAAAAGTATTAAAGCATATCTAGAAAATATACATTAAAACTACCCCTTTGCTTTTTGTGGTGGTGGGGTGGGCTGTTTTAGCAGGGTTCGTACAGTCACGGAAAACTTTAGAAAGTCT